TGCAGCTCTCAAGAAAACGGTCAAGAAAAAGAATTTCCATTATTTTGTGTGTGTCTCCAAGGAATTTTGACATCTGATACTTCACAGCCTGTTGCCTCGCTCTTTCCTCAAGAAATAATGGAACGGGTATTTATGTATTTCTGTTGCAAGCATGCGTTCCTTGTGCTCTTCTTTCACAAAAAACTTTAGAAAACCGTAGTAGAAAGCGTAGCAAATTTCATAAGAACTGTGTACTGCCTTAAGGAAATTTGACACATGAAAATTGCTTAGCCATTTCTTGTCCGTTATTTTAGATGAAGGTTTTGCTTTCCTTGAGAGATAGTATGCTCTCAAAGTGAATCCAAGCTATCTGATAAACGTTTTCTGTTAAACATCATAAATGTAATTTTGAAAAAATTTTCAAAAAATTCATATCTTCCGAAAGTGTCTATTGAGTTTTATAAATGGTACCTAGTTTTACGCGGAATTGTTATTATTATTATTATTTTTATTATTATTATCATAATCATTAGCAGTTAATTGGAAAAATGAGAATATATGATTTTTTAAAGTTACTCTTGCTTAAACTGCCTCTTTTTATGATTGGGATAGAATTCCAAGTTCTAATAGTACTGATGAAAAAGAGTCTAGTCGATGTTATAAAATTATAGTTGGATACAATAAAGCCTTTGCGCGCTCAGACTTCGGGAATATTAACTTCTCATTGAGGCAGAAGGGCGTCTTTGTACAGATAAGACGGAACAGAAAAATACAGCTTCTTGCCTTTAAGTAGTCCTGGATTCCATATCCTAACAGACTTGCCCTCCATTTCGATATGTGATCAAACTTTTTTAAGCCGTACACATACCGAATTACATGATTAAATACTACACTGATCATATGAGCCGACACACAGAGTCTAGCTTATTATAAACCAGCTCGGAGTTGGTATTAATAGAAACAATGAATTGTTAATTGTCGTCTTGTGTCTACTGGAGTAAGTTCTGCAGTTTGGCGTAAGTTTCTTAGCGCACCATATATGATCCTTGCAACTTAAGCTCGAATAAATGACTAATCCCAGGTTTGTTATTTTATTTACATCTTCTAAAGGTTTATTTCCAAGAACTATCTGGGGTATTGTAGATATGTCAAGCTTCTTCTTGGCGATTGGTAAAACAAACGACTTTCCAGAGTTAAGGCAAATACCGTTACTCTTAGACCACTTATAATGTGCACACAAAACTTGTTATTTCTTCAAATAGTAGAAATATTCTTCTTTCCAAAGCCATATAAAAACTTAAAATCGAGTAGAAAATAACAGACATAAAAATTGTTTAGTACGGCAAGTCAAGTAAAAATGTTTTTTAAGAATAAATAAGTCGCGAATTTTATGGGGTTACAAAAATTTCAAACACAGTTTCATGAATTACTCGACCAACCCTACGACCTGTACTAGGTCATTTAAAAAGTCCATGATCAGTGTAACATCGTGTTATTCAAAAACTTTCTTAGAAAAGAAATTTACATTTTAACATATGAAAGGTTTTCAGTCAGCGCCTTTTGGCAAATACCCAATCGAGTGACACTGCCTTGTGGATAGACAAGCTCTGAGTTGAGAGACGAGTTGCTATTTACTGTAAGGGAGGACACAGGAATTCAAGGAAATGCGTAGGCTAAATGCTAGTAAAAATCGGGGTAAACTTACTGCTGGGACACACAGCAGGTGAATGACTGAATTAAACAAGGACATCGCTAAGAAAGCGAAATTTTTGTGGGAAGTGGAAAACCCCACAAACAATTTTCTAACCCTTCCAAGACACTAAAAGTTGCTAGTTAAGGTTCAATAAGTCAAGGATCTTTGAAGCGAGTATAATCTTTTAAAGTAATAATGAATAATGCTTATAAATTCCTTTATTTGTCCATATTGTTAGCAATTACATACATTTTAGAGTACTACAAAATTTAAAGATTAATTCCTGATACTTTGTAATGGACAAAGGAATTTAATTTCGCACACCTATGTACATACATATGTATATATAAACTAGTTTGCCCGCACCCGCTTCGCTGACTGTATGAAAATTCAGCGTGTGACGTTAAGTGTAATTTATTTCTGTAAAACTAAACATATTCAAACTTAGCCAAAAGCATAGATTATTCTCCCATTTATATATTTTTTATTTTCAAACTAAAGCTTTTTAACTCTCGAGCCTCTTACCCGTATTGTGATACATATTTCAAATACACAATTCCCCTAATTCAAGTTGAATTTGGCTTTTTAAACAGGTGGCAAGCCCCATAGCTGTAAATAATAATAGCTTGTTACCTTCTTAGATAAATATTTAATTTGAAAATGACTTTTGAAACAGGTGAAACCCTTTAATATTCCAAGTCTTCAAATTAAAATTTTTTCACACTATTTCGTTTGACACGCATATTTTAATAAATTATATAACTTGCGTATAATTTAGTTTATTATGACTTTTCAAACAGATAGCGACCCTTTTCAAAATATTTCAAACTACAACCTTCTTAAAACTCTTCCATCTGACGCCCATATTTGAATTGATTTTTGATTTTTTTACCAGTTGGCAACCCTCCTAAGTGTTATTTATAAATGCCGTTTTTCATTACCATTTCTATTGATAGCCATATTGAAACGGTTAATAAACAATTTGAATTTAAGTTAATATTTCAACAGGTGGTAGCCGTCTTCAAACCCTTATAATAAATTTTAAGTGCTCAAACAAAAAACTTCTTAATACTCTTTCGTTTTAATATTTCTTATAACTTGAGTATAATTTAATTAAATGCCGCTTTTCAAACAGATGACCTTCATATTGTGATAACATATTTCAATTAACTATTTAATTCAATGAATTCAAGTTGAATTTTATTACTTAAATTCAGTTTATATGGAAGGTGCCACGCCCCTTCTCCAATAACGCCCATTTTCCTCCATGAGTATGGTATTGATTTTAAAAATCTCCGTACCAAGTTTCGGTACTCTACCAAAAATACTTCCAAAGATATGTTGTATGAAAAATCCTATTTCTATGGGAGGTATCACGCCCCCTTGTCAAATCGAGATAATGGCTGTCCTATATTTTAAGTTGGGCTAAATGAAGCTAGTGTGCAAAATTGTATAATTATCAGTTGAGTATTTAATGCGTGAAAGCGTAACAAACAAACAAACTCACTTTCGCATTTACATACATACATATAATATTAGTAAAGATATTTAGTAGGGTGATCGACTTGGTTTTTCCAAACCGGTTTCCGCCGTGTTTTTTTTTGGATATCTATATCGGTTTTCAATAACCGGTTCTTTTCATTTCATACAAATCTTGCCCTGTCAATAAAAATTTTTAGTTTCCAGTTTAAGAGAAACCCCTAATAGTTTTAAAATTAAATTTCTAGGTTATATGGGGATGAACAGTAATATCATATCTGATTCCAATAAATGAATGTTTGCCGGTTCAACGTATTGTAAGTGTTTGGCCGAGCTTCTCTTTCAATTTGGGCTCTGATTTTTGATGTTGTGACACAAATGGATAAATCTTCACTTCACTGTACCACCGGAGAGGCTTGTTTTGGCAGAAGTAAACTCGTAGCTTTGCCATGGTCTGCCGAGGTGCGACCGCTATTTGAAAACCCTTTTTTTATGTTGCTGGACCCTACTACTCAATCCGAAGAAAGTCAGAAAAAATGCAATAAAATAAGAACAAACGTTAATTTTTCACGGATTTTTATTTGTTTTGCCTTTGATCTAAAAAAAAGCTTTGAACTTATTTTGCTTTGCTATTTTCCAAAAAAAAGCTATCTTTACCGTTAATAGTTTTACTGTAATTTTTGGTTTACAGCGCTTAACAAACGGATACAAAATATACCATCTTGTTCAGAAGATTATACTGATTAAAACTATTCAAATAACAAAATCTCCTACCTCTGAATCTACCCATCACCGCTAATATCACTTACGGTTTATTTCTTGATCATGGTCTCAAGATGAAAACAATATTGTTTTGTAGAGAAAGAAATTATCTAGGTAATTGCAATGGAATGTACTGCACTATCCCATAATCGATCCTTAAATTAAATTATTCATTTTGTTTGTATGAAATATGAGGAGAAATTTTCGTTACTCATACGCCATGTGTGCCCCCGTTTGTTCAAACTAAAAGTGGGAAAATTCCAAAAAGTAGATTTTCCTGTGCATTTTTGAATCAAAATTCCACAAATTCCCATAAAAAAATGAAAAAAATTGAATCATTGGATTTTTGTAAGCAACTCCTCATTTTGCGTTTTTAAATTTCCATAAACAAAATATTTTAAATCTCTCACTTTCCAGAGTAGGGTAAAAAACCACCGCACATGCAAAAAAGGACATTATAATTATAATAATTTTTTTGATTCTACTTAAATTTTGCACCTTATTTATTTTACGCAAATTGGTTTGAAGTTCACAGGTTTTAGTCGTACAACATTTGTTCATGAATGCAATAAAAAAGAACAGAACAAAGGCTTACATGTGCACATGAATTTATTTATGCGCATTTATTTTTATTCAATTCACATCACCATACTAGCTAAACCCAAATTAATTTGATGCGTAGCCAATTCAATTTAACTGCCATTTCATTTCCTCGCTCAAACGCTTATACAAATGCCATTCGGCGAATGCTAAACCGTTATCAGGTCGACTTGGCCCAGTTGTTGCCTTCGAAGTTCGAATAATTTCCTTCACAAATAGCACACACAAACTTTTTATCAATGAAAATATTGAGAACATGTGTGTGAAGGTACATATGTATGTGTAAGCCTGTGCGACTTGTTTAGTTGCTGATATGCTCAACCTTGACTGCTACTTTTGTAAACACTTGACGTTTTTTCTTTACTTAGTTCTTATTCCATAACATTGTCGTTATGCTCTGGCAGGTTTTTTTAGTTTTTTTTGTTTTACTTTTTATTATTTATTTATTGCAAATAATTATGCTTTTATTTGGTAATTTTACACTACCCTCAGATTATCCTCCCCACTCTTTGTTTATCCTTTGCGCATAAAGATATATGTAAGTAGCTGTGCATGCTAATGCAGACCCGTTTTAAAAATTCTCAATCACCAAATTTTAAATATAATTTGTTTTTAAACTTTCAGACACAACTACCGTTAAACTCTCACCGTTATAACTATTTCGTTATTCACCTTTTAAAGTAGACTGTTGGGTGTTAACAGTTTTCCTTTATGTTTTTTTTTTTTAATTTTAATTTATATTGTTTAGTTCACTTTAGTGCGCTACTCTTGAAATGAAACGTTCAACACGCTACGCGCTCCCGGGAAAACTGTTTTTCACTTGATGCATGCATTGCCTCGAGAGTGTTCCGAGTTGTCTGCGCGCACACCCAGCCCACCTGCCGGTACATATGCACATACATACATACGTTGGCAAGCACATTCTCTCATGTTAATATCAAGCTCATAACGTTGAATTCGAATTCGCTACGGGAGAAGGGTTCCTTTTTTTT